TCAGCAGGAGCAGCTAAATAAGTAGAATACAGGCATCCGTCGTTTTACTGCCCTTTACAGATACTGCGTTTTTTACGCACATTGAAGGTTTGTGGCAACCCTGCATCGAGCAACTATCAGCACCATTTTCCCAACAGCATTTGCTCACTTCGTGTCTCTCTGTCACATTTCGGCAATTCTTACGGTATTTCAAACTTTTACGTCATGATTATACTTGTTATGGTGATCAGTGACCTTTGATGTTACTCTTGTAATTGTTTGGAGTGCACCACAAACTGCTCCCATGTACGACAGCACATTCAATCAACAAAAGCTGTGTGTGTTCTGACTGCTCTACCAACCAGCTGTTCCCCCATCTCTCTTCCTCTCCTCACGCCTCCATATTCCCTGAGACACAACAATATTGAAATTAGGCTAATTAATAACCCTACAGTGGCCTCTGAGTGTTCAAATGAGAGGAGGATTCCCATGTCCCTCACTTTAAATCAGAAGCTAGAAATGATTAGTCTCAGTGAGGAAGACGCGCTGAAAACCAAGGTAGGCTGAAAGGTAGGCCTCTTGTGCCGAACAGCCAAGGTGTGAAAGCAAAAGAAAAGTTCTTAAAGGAAGTTAAAAGTGCTGCTCCGGTGAACACGTGAATGATAAGAAAGTGAAATAACCTTAACGCTGATACGGAAAAAGTGTTAGCGGTCTGGATAGAAGATTAAACCAGCCACAGCATTCCCTTAAACCAAAGCCTGATCCAGAGCAAGGCCCTAACTGTTCAATTCTATGAAAGCTAAGAGAGATAAGGAAGCTGCAGAAGAAATGTTTGAAGCTAGCAGGGCTGGTTCATGCGGTTCAGGGAAAGAATCTTTTTCCATAACATAAAAGTACAAAGTGAGCAGCAAATAGTGATGTAGAAGCTGCAGCAAGTTATCCAAAAGATCAGCTGAGATACTTAATGGGCCGTTACACTAAACAACAGATTCTCAATGTAAATGCAACAGCCTTCTATTGAAAGAAGATGGCATCTCAGACTTTCATAGCTAGAAAGGAGAATTCAATGACGACTTCAAAACTTCAAAGGACAGGCTGACTTTCTTGCTAGGGGCTAATGCCGCTGGTGACTTTAAGTTGAAGCCAGAGCTCATTTACCATTCCAAAAATCCTAGGGCCCTTCAGAATTGTGCAAAATCTACTCTGCCTGTGCTCTATAAATTGAACAGCAAAACCTGGATGATGGCACATCTGTTAAAAATATGGTTTACTGAATATCTTAAGCCTAGTGTTGAGAGCAACTGCTCAGGAAAAAATACTTCTTTCAAAATATTCCTACTTATTGATAATGAAGTGAATGAAGGGAGCCCTTCTCTCCTGATGCCCATACAGCAGCTGCCTCC